AATGCATAATCGCCGAGTTCGGAGCAGACGGAACCAGGAAAAAGTGGGGAGGTCTCGGACGAGTGAGGCGCTATGAAGGCAGACCCGTACCTGGCCAGCCACGTCTAACGCGTGGTAGCGATGCATAGAGGCGGAGTACTCTGCGTATGCCCTTGTCGTCGAAAGCGAGTGCCGTGAAGCGCTATTTCCTGCTGTCAGCTCACCACCTCGCCTTCTCTGTCGCTCTCCTGGCCCAGGCCCACCAGCAGCAAGCCTGAGTTGTCCCAGACCGCACTTGTTTTGGGTCTTCAAGCTCATACCGGCTCGTGATGCTCCGGTGTAGGGCTCGAGAGCACTCCCGGAGGCCCTGTGCCGAGCAATTGTGAGGGCTTTCCGGAGGTCATCATCGGCGCCACCGACCGTGATATGTCCCGACCCACAGCCCTCATGCATTAGGCGCATGGATGCAGTCATAGTATGTAGGCCTTCTCTCCCACAGATTTGAGCAATAGCCGCAAACAACGCTTTTTGGCACTTGCATCTCTCTCGTGTGAACACGCACACCCCATGCCGACGAAGCGGCTTCCCAGCTCGCCAGCTCGCCTTCTCTGTCGCTCTCCTGGCCCAGACCCATCAAGATCAAGCCTGGGCTGTCCCAGACCGTCCTTACTTTGGGTGATGAAGCTCACTCTGGCTCATACCACGGCTCTTGCAGCCTCACACTGTCACACACGCCTGTTTCACCCACAGACACCGCCGGCACGCACTCCCAGTTCACACATGCTCAAGCACAGCCCCACCAAAGCACAGCCCTGCTCAGAATGGTCATGGACCACCACTTGGCAGCCGTGGAAGCCCCACATCCGCTGCTTTTCTCGGCTCCTCTCAATGCGTGTCGGGCACCGCCACGACAGCACGCCGACGGCAAGCTTTTGAGATCCATCTGGTGGACCTGCTGTGGCCACAGCCGCCCCTCACATGAAGCTCGCACCAGGGCTCGACACCGGGCCCTCTCATCCCGGTCGTGGCGGCGTGTGTGAAGGATGCGCGGCCGAGCCGCTGGCTGGCGCCGCTTGAACGTCCGAGATGGCCGCAGCACAGGCCATTGCTCAAACAATCGGCCGGTGCGTCGTTCGGCCCACGGCGATGGGCCTGGTCGATTTCAGCCGACGGGATGGCAGCAGGGCCGCGTGCGGGGCCTGCGCTTGGATTGCCCCGTCGGGCGCAGGCTTTATTAGAGACCCCGAAGGCGAAGCATTGGCAAAAACTGCTCTCATGGCCTCTATTTCCGGGGTCAGATATTTGGGTCTCGATATCGGACCCACAAGAGCTAACCGAAGTGGCAAAAACTGGCTCTGATGCGCTAGCCGTCGCCCACCCTAGGGAGTCTGCCTCTTCCTATCTCTCGGGACAGGGGTTGTGCGTTGATGTGAATTATCGATTTCTCGATTTTCAGTCGGCGTCGGTGTTGCAATCCAGCTCCTGTGCGCCGACAATGCGACGCTCGCTCCTCTGCTCGCAGTGCGCTCGCCGCGGCTCCGTGGCGCCGCGCCACCGCCTCCTCTCGTCGCTGCCCGCCGGGGTCTCGCCCAGCCGCGGCGCCAGCCCGCTGAGCGTCGTGCAGGACGCCATCGCGGCCGGCATCCTGAACGAGGACCCCAAGCAGATGGCGGCGCTGCTCAAGCTCGACGCGCTGGCGAGCAGGCTAAAGGACTGGGAGCCGCCTGCAATAGGGCCCGCGGCCTCCGAGAGCGGGACGTCCGGCGGCGGCCTCTGGGGGTCCATCAGCTCTGTCTTTGGCGGCGGCGGCGGCGGCGACAGCGGCGGCGGCGGCACCGCGACAGCGCAATCTCTCGACGACGTGGCGGCGCCGCTGGGGCTGTACATGTACGGCGGCGTCGGCTGCGGCAAGTCGCTCATCATGGACACCTTTTTCGATTGCGTCGACCTGCCGAGCGAGAAGAAGCGGCATGCGACCCGCGCCTTCCGGAGGCGGTGCCTCCGGCCAGGGCCAGGAAGTGGCTCAGGAGCGCGCCGCGGCTGACGCTAGGCGCGTCCACTTCCACGAGTTCATGCTCGAGATCCATAAGCGGCTGCACGAGCACCGGCAGGCGGCGCAGCTGCGGAAACTGCTCTTGCCACGTCGTCTCCGCCACACCGCACACCCCGTCTGCGGCACCGCTCGCAGGCGAACCCCGGCGCGGGTGACCCGGTGCCGGCTCTCGCACACGACATCGCCCAGGCGCGCTCCCCGATGGGCCACCCGCGCTTGCCATCTCCGCACCCCACGTTTCCCCACGTGCCGCCCACGGCCGCCAATCGAGGTGCACACGGCCTGGCTCCGTCGCCGCCGCCGCCCTCGCCGCCGCCGCCCTCGCCGCCGCCCGCCACTCCGCCCTCGCCGCGTCCTCCGCCGTCTCTGCCTGAGCCCACGCCGCCGCCGCTCCCGCCGCCGCCGCCGCCGCCCACATGTGGTTCCTAACCCTTCTTGGCTCCTCGCACCGCAGTCGGCGGCGCTGCTCTGTTTTGATGAGTTCCAAGTGACGGACGTGGCCGACGCGCTCGTCATCCGCCGGCTGTTCCACCAGCTCTTCTCGCACGGCATCGTGATGGTCGCCACCTCGAACCGGCCTCCCGACGACCTCTACAAAAACGGGCTGCAGCGCCCGCTCTTTGTGCCTGGCCCAGAAGCCCCGAGGCAAGACTCACCACACACACACACACACACACACACACACACACACACACACACACACACACACACACACACACACACACACCAACACCAACACCAACACCACCAACACCACCACCACCACCGGGACCAAGTCTGCGACGACGGCGCCGAAAGGGGAGTCGCGCGGCACGCGGCGCCGTCGTTCACCGGACTGAATGGGGTTAGGTTCCCTTCATCGGCGACCTGAAGCAGCGGTGCGAGGAATCACGGCCCTAGAGGCTGAAGACGTATCCATGTATTCATGTATTCCAACTAGCTCTCGAGAGGACACGTACTCCGCCGTCTTCCGCCGTCTTCGGCGGTGTTCCACTGCACTCGTAGCCCGTGTGCTCACGCGGTGCTCCGAATACACGGCGCGACCCCGTCTCTCACCCCGACCTCTCGGTGTGTTCCTGACGCAGGTCCACGACCTCGACTCGCCCAACGACTACCGCATGCTCAAGCACCTCGCTCGCGCCGGCCGCACCTACATGACCCCGCTCGGCCCCGACACGGACGAGGCGATGGACGAGTTCTTCGGCCTACTCACCAAGGGCAGGGGCACCAAACCGCTCACGCTGCAGCTGAGGGGCCGCAAGCTCAAGGTGGAGCGCGCGGCCCGCAAGGTGGACGTCGCGCGCTTTGGCTTCGACGAGCTGTGTGGCAAGCCGCTCGGCGCCGAGGTGGGACAGACAGACAGACAGACAAACACACGGCAGACAGGCAGGCAGACAGACAAACACAGGCAGACAGGCAGGCAGGCAGACAAACACACGGCAGACAGGCAGGCAGACAGACAAACACAGGCAGACAGGCAGGCAGGCAGACAAACACACGGCAGACAGGCAGGCAGACAGACAAACACAGGCAGACAGGCAGGCAGACAGACAAACACACGGCAGACAGGCAGGCAGACAGACAAACACAGGCAGACAGGCAGGCAGACAGACAAACACAGGCAGACAGGCAGACAGACAAACGCTACGCAGACAGACAGGCAGACAGACAAACGCTACGCAGACAGACAGACGGTCCCATGACTGCCCGTTCCCGCACCTCCGCCCCTACCCCTGCCAGGACTATCTCGGCCTCGCCTCCGCCTTCCACACGATCTTTGTCGAGTCGGTGCCGCAGCTCAGCTTCAATGACATCAACAGAGTCCGCCGATTCATCACCCTCATCGACTCGCTCTACGAGAAGCGAGTGCGTCGCATCATCCCTGTGTGGCCGCAGCCCGCCGCCGCCGTCGCCACCGCCCCGAAGCCCCCGTCGCCTCCACCGCCCAGCCCTCCGCTGCCATCGCCGCCACCTCCGTCGCCGCCACCGCCGAGCCCGACCCCGCCCAGCCCGCCACCTCCATCGCCGCCCCCCCCCCCCCCCCCCTTTCCGCCAGGTCCGGCTCGTCATCTCGGCCGCGGCGCCCATGGAGACGCTGTACGCCGTCGATGAGGCGAACTCGGACGAGTCTTTTGCCTTCGACCGGTCTCGCACCCAGCCTGCGCCACAACACGGCGCGTGTAGCGGCGGCCGAGCCGGCGAGTGGCCCTGTAGGACCGTCTCGCGCCTGAACGAGATGAGCTCCTCCGAGTACCTGATCCGGTCAATCTCGGCGCACGAGAAGGTGGCGGCCTCTAGACTCTCACGCCGGGCCTCCGGAATACGCCTCCTATGTTTGTTGTCGCCGCCGGGTTTGATTAGCTATCGGGGACTGCTTCTCCGCCCTCCCCCGCTCCCATCCAGATGTAGATGCAGAGGTTGCGCGGAGACAAACGCGTGTCGCGAGAGGGGGGGGGGGGGGTCCTTGGCTGCCGCGTGCACATGGCTGGGCTTGGGTGGGCGGTGGGGGCGGTGGTGGGCGGGGCGGCGCTTAGAGGGCCGTCGCTTTGCCTTCCCGTTTCAGGCGAAGGGGACGCTGCTGGTCTACGAGTCGGATTCGGCGCCAGCGGAGCAGGGCCTTGCGGCCTCCTCTCGGCGTGTCGCGAGCTGTGAACGGGCGGCGAGTATAGGTGCTCACCCGCGAGGAGGCGACGCAGCTCTTCATCTCGTACGACGCCGATGGGTCGGGGGCGCTCACAGCCCTGCCGGCGCTGTGCAAGGGTGGCAAGCTCCGCACGCTCAGGCCCCCCCCACCCGTCAGGCGCTCGAGATTCCGGAGCTGCGCTTGCTAATGATGGACCTCTCCGAGCGGATGCGCGGCCACCGCAACGCATTTGGAGAGGCCAGCTGGCGTTGCTGGTGCCGCACCGCGCCTGAGGTGGAAAGCGGGTCGGGCGTAGGTGGAGGACGCAGAGGTGGAGCACGCGTTTGCGCTGATGGATGCGAACGGCAACGGCGAGGTGTGCCGTCGCCGCCGTGCGTTTTGCACCGAGTTCTGTCCATTGCATCCCGCTTCCGCTACTAGCCCCCCTCACCCCCCCCCCCCCACACACCCCCACACCGGTCTCCCCATTCCTCTCCCCATTCACTCGTCTCTCTTCCTGCCTTCAGGTGACCCCGACACTTCCTAGACACTTCCTAGACACTTCCTAGACACTTCCTAGACACCTCCTAGACACCTCCTAGACACTTCCTAGACACTTCCTAGACACTTCCTAGACACCTCCTAGACACCTCCTAGACACTTCCTTGCCCTTCAGGTGACGCAGTACGAGTTTACCGACGTCTTCGCCAACTCGAGCCTGACACAAGTTGTCGCTGCGTACGGCGAGACGCTGCCGGAGAACGCGCTTCCACAACCGTCTCAATCGGGACGCATCAATCGGGACGCGTGACGGGCGGCTTGTCGGGTCGCAGAAGACGCGCGAGTAGAGGGTTGCACTGCGGGCCGCGTCGCGCCGGTGTCTCCCGGCGGGCTCGGGCGGGGAGGCAGTCCGAGCTGCTGAGCGATCATCCATCCGCCAGTCGCGCACACACTGATCATTGTGGAGGAGGGCATGCCCGAACCGATCGCACATATCGTTCAGGGTTAGAGAGGCGCGGGCGGCGCGAGGGCCGGGTGAGCCGTGTGTGACGTGTGAGAGAGAGACAGGTGCGCGGAGTCGCGCGAGTCGCGCGAGGCAACAAGAGGCAGACTCAGAGCACAGATGGGTGTTGTGAGGACACAGCGTCAGCGCGAAACGCCCGAAACCCCGGGAACCGAGATCCGAGTCTGGAGTCTCCCCGACGCGAGAGCCGGTGCCCGTGCGGGGAGACGCCCTCTCGTCATGAGTTCTTTCTTTACTACGCGTGTGGATTACATTTTCCGTGTAGTACCCGAGAGGTGTGTACACGCCGCGGCAGATACACTCGACACACGACCCAGCGCGAGCGTGCGAGCGAGAGACACGCACGCCGATTCTACCGTAGTTTTCGAGTCTCTGCCTCGCACGCACCCTCACTCTCTCAAGGGCGCAAGAAAGAGAGGTCGATCTTCTCCACCTTGATGCCGAGCTCGCGACGAAAGTCGTCCATCCGCTGCGCCTCCTCCTCGGAGAAGATGAGCGAGACGGCGCGGCCGCGGCGCCCCTCGCGGGCGGTGCGACCAGCGGCATGCACGTATGAGTCAACCTATGTGCATGGGAGGGTGGGGTTTTCGAGGCCCGGTGCAGACGCGCAGTTGAGAGACGAGTCCACCCGCTGCGGCAGCCCGAGCAAAAAGACGCAATCGAGGCCTGCGGCGGGAGCCAGAGCCGACACTTGCGGTGCGGGTCCGAGATTGGGGGGGAGAGGGCGGGGTTGCAGCGCCTTTAAAGTCGACTCCGCGCACCGCGTGCTCGCTAGTGACGAGGAGTGGCAGCTCTGCCTGCCTGCGGCTCGCCTCGCTGCGGTACGAGTCCGCGAGGAGCTGCCGCTGTTGCATCATGCCCTCGGGCGACGCCTCGCCTGCAGAGGGGGGGGTCATGAATGAGGCGCTCGAGCTGGGCCAGAAGATGCGTAGGTGCTCGGCCGCTCGCGCGAGCGGGCGGACTACGTTCCGAGATGTCGCCGAGACGCAGCCGAGATTTGGCCCCGATTGAGCCGAGATGTCGCCGAGATTTGCCCTGCAGGCGTCGCCTCTCGGAGAGGGGCCGCGGGCCGCTGCACGCGACATCTCGGAGAATCTCGGGCTCTCTTGGGGAAACTCTGGCAGTCTCGACCCCGGGTCTCCCATGCAGACCCCGCCCCCCTCCCCGCCTCCCTCCCCGCCTCCCTCCCCGCCTCCCTCCCCGCCCCACCTTGTGCCGCGTCGCCCTCATCCGCCGGCAGGACACCGAGTGCTTGGTTGAGGGCAACCGCGGACAAGAAGCCGGCCTTGCGCAACTCGTCCACGCACCGAGGCACCGAGCCGCCATTCGGGATCACGAGGAGCGGAGCCTCGGGCATCAGCTCCTCGGTGGCCACGCGCAGCATGACCAGTCGGGCCGCCGCGCGCCCAGAGTAGACGCTGTGCGAGAGAGTGGACGGCAAGCGCACGTTTCCCACGCCTCGCTGCGCGAGGTTGCGCGGCGGCGGGTGCGCCGGCGCCGCCGTCACGACCACGCCCGCGTCTCGCTTGCCGCCGCCTAGGGGAGAGGCGTCGTGGAGCGTGTCGTCCATCAAAGTGTCTTGCGGAGGGCAGGAGGGGTCTCGGTGCCTCCGACAAGCCAACCGACGCCGCGGCGCGTCTCGGCGCAGACCGTCGCTGAGCACGACACCAGCTGCAGCTTCGGCGCGCCGCGAGGGCGGCTGCGCCGCAGCCACTCCAGCACTAGCTGCGCCGGCCGCTTTGCTCTTAGCCGACGCTCAATGGCAAGCGCCGTTGGATTCGCCGCCGGCCCTCCCCTGCCCCGGGTCGGCCGGGCCCGGGCCTTCCCACGTGCCGCCATCCGATGCGCCCGCCCGGGTGCGCGAGCGCTGGATTGCATCGTGGGCGGAGATGGCTGAACGGTGCCGGGCGGCAGCAGCAGGTCCACCTCATCCAAGACAACGGCGTCCGGGCCGAGGACGGCGCCACGGGCGCCGCGAAAGACCTGCAATAACGCACGCGGCGTTCCGACAAGCACGCGCGCGCCACTGAGGCACGATGGCCGAAGATCGACAGGCTGTATTGCGAGCAGCACGTCGCTCGGCTCGGGCAGTAGCAGCCTTGCCTCGGCTGCAATCTGTATCGCCAGCTCCTGCGACGGGCTCACGATGACTGCGCTGATGCCGTCGGCGGGCGCGCTTCGCGAAAGCAAAGGGACCAGATAGGCGAGCGTCTTGCCCGAGCCAGTCTCTGCGTGGAGCACCGTGTTTGTCCCGTTAGCGATTACGGGAAACGCCGCGCGCTGGATGGGCATCGGCCGCGTGTAGCCCGCGGTGTGCAGCCGCTCCACCAGCGGGTCCGGCACGCCCGGCCATCGCGTCGTGACGGCGACCCGTGGTCGCAGTGCTGTCGAGGCCAGCCAGCACAAGGTGAGCATGTGGCCAGCGTCGCGGCCCGCACATTCTTTTTCTTGTGTACCTAGGATTCGGCGCGACCATCAGCAGACGCCCGGGCCTTTGGTCGCTGGAGCTCGGCAATGGTCGCGCCGCCCTCGACTCACGGGGCTGCCTTCCATCCGCCGCTGCTCAGGCCGGGGGAGGGGGGGAGACCTCCTGTTCCTCGCGGAACGGGAGCAGCCCCCTCCTTGCCCGGTCTGCGAAGCAGGGTGGTGGTCGTGCCATCTTCGCTTCAAAACGACCACGCCGCAATCGTCGCCGGCGTGCGACACGTTCCCGGAGGCCGGACTGTCCTGGTCGAGAGTGTGTGCCGCCAAGGCGGGACTACTCGGGGACAGTGCCGACGGGACGCGGCTCGAAGGGTGTGGCTCCGCAGCGCGGCTGGCACTCGTCGCAGAGGCCTCACCTTCGAAAAGTCGGGCATGGCTCCACCCGCAACTTGCTCGCTAACACGCGCGCACCGCCGAGCCTGCGGCGGGCGCGCTGCGGCCGCACGTCTAACTTCGTCATAGTGCCACGACGTGCGGCCTAGATTTAGCCCACGCGCCTCTGCTCGCAAACACTCACCCATTGAATTGTCACTGCCCGTGAGTGCGAGATTAGGGCTAGCCGCAGGCAGCTAGCCCGTGAGGAGAGCGTCCATAGACACCTCACTTAGACCCCACACACGGTCTCGTCCGTGCCTCGCCGGCCGGAGAGATTGCTGGAGGTAGAGCAAGCCTGCTCTAGCCTCGCATGTCACTTCCTGTCGTCTGTTGTTTGAGTTGTGCCCTTGTTTGTGCCCTTGGCACCGTGGAGTGCTGGGGGGGGCGACAGGGAGGATGTCGGGCCCTGAGTTATGTGTACGCCGACTCAGGGTGTGTGGCAGCCCGCTGGCTGTGTGTCTTGTGAGCTTGTTTGTGTCTGTGTGTCGCTCGTGCGTGTCGTCATCATCTGTCCAGCGTCCACCCATACCGCGTTGGTGTCCAGTCCGAGCCTGGCTGTTCTTCACCTTTCTACCTACCTACCTACCTAGGATTGGGGTGAACTTCTTTTCTAGACGGCTAGGATAGAGATCAGCCTCGCTCTCAATCCTAGAAGTCGAAGGATTGTGAGCAGCGCTCCTCGCAATCGTAGCATCTCTGTGCGATTGTGAGCGCCTACGCTCGCAGTCCACATTTTCTCAACAAACAAACGCTCTCTCTCTCTCTCATTTTCTAGGACTAAGAGCGGGTCCCCTCGCAATCGGTGCGATCACTGTTTGGATTGCGAGGAGACCATCCCGGCGCGCTCACAAGCGCTCGCGGCTGGAGCGATTGGGAGCGCCCCCTGTGCGCCTGCCAGCAATCCTTTGGTGCTTGGATCTTTGGTACGATTGAGGATTGTGGGCGCAGCCGCTCATACTCCTACATAATGGATTGCGAGCGCTCCTGCTCGCAATCGGAGGCTTGTCGCTAGGATTGTGAGCAGTGCTGCTCGCAACCCTAGACTTTGCTCGGAAGATTGCGAGCGCGCTGGTAGTCGTATAGGCGTCACCAGTCATCTTGGGAGCGGAGCTGCTCTTAGTCCTAGAAGATGTAGGATTGCGAGCGTAGGCGCTCACAATCGCACAGAGATGCTACGATTGCGAGGAGTGCTGCTCACAATCCTTCGACTTCTAGGATTGAGAGCGAGGCTGCTCTCATCCTAGCCGTCTAGAACTTAAAGGTTCACCTTAAGGAGTGTCATTTGCACTGCCATGAACCATGATTGCGAGTGTAGGGCTAGCGACTGGTTGCTGGCCTGTGAGGAGAGAGTCTGTCGACATACCTCCACCCGACCCCCCCAGCAGCAAAGCGCTGCTGCTGGGGGGGGGGTCGGCCATGACTTTAGATGAAGATGTGCAGGGGGGGGGGGGGTAAAGCCGTACCGAGCAGTGTGCGGCCGCTCCAACTCGGGATGTGGACAGCCCAGCAGAGGCTGAGCGTCTCATGCAAGCAACATATACACTGTATACACGTACAGGGCCGGAACACGTACCAACCACGCCGTTGCCTCTCTGTCCTGTACTACCGACGGCCTCTGTGAAGTGTGAACACAGTCACTGCACGTGCCATGCCCAACGCTGACACGGCCGGCTTCCGATTGTGGCCGTCTTCACGACACGAGCGTGGGCTGCATCGCCACTTGCACGCCGCGCTCGATGACATCTGTGATGGGGGCGCGGCAGATAGGGCAGCGCTCGCGGCTCGCCACGAGACGCGAGGCGCACTCCTCGCAGCAGCTGGCGTGCCGGCACGGGCCGAAGCGTGTGGCACGCGGCCTGTCGAGGCAGATGAGACAAAGGCGCGCCTCCTCGTTGGCGGCCTTGGCGAGGTCGGCGAGGTCAGGTGCCTTCAGCCCGAGCTGGCGGCAAAGCTGGCCGCACGTGTGCGTCTTGAAGAAGGAGAGGACTCCCTGCGCGCCCTTGTCGGTGCCGCCGTTCTTGTGACGGCGAGAGCCCTTCTTGGAGATGTGGTGTAGGACCGGGTCCGTGAGCACGAAGCCGTCGCTCGCGTTCCACACGCCTTGCAGATCGCACACCAGCGTGCGCCCCTGCGTGTGCTCGTAGGAAAAGTGAGAGAAGCATTGGGGCAGCTCGTTGAGCACCAGGTTCACGTCGATCGTGGCCTCGTCGTCCTCGTCCTCGTTGTCATCCTCCTCCTCCTCCTCGCAGATCGCGCCGAGCACCGAGCTCTGCCCCGCCCGAGCGCTCGCCGGCGGCTCGGCAGCGAGCGGCAGAGTATACACGTTGCCGTTGTTGTTGTTCCACTTTCGGAACTTCCCCTCGAGCTCCTGCTCGACGAGCACCCACGCCTCGTTGTTCGGGTAGGACTCGTCGTAGCAGTGGTACACGCTCACCTCGAGGAAGAGGAGCTGCATCGACGGTGGGCCCGCCACACGCCGGTTGAAGGTGCGGGCGATCTCGCCCGCCTCGGCTTGGATGCGCGCCATCTCCGCCTGGAAGCGCCGGCCGAGGTTCTCGGTGTGCTTCGCCTCCTTAGCTACGAGGCGGTAGGCTCCGCGAAACGCGCGCATGGTAGCGCCGCGGGCCTGGCCGGCGTACCACTCGTTGAGCTTGTCCTCGGGAATGAAGACCTCGGCGCAACGGTAGACGAAGCGCTCGACGCCCTGCGCGAACGGATGGCGGAAGAAGGCGAGGCCAGTGTGCGCGGCGTCGAAGCACGTCTTGACGAGGTCGCGTTTTGTGAGCACGTACTTGTACTTGTCGACCTCGGACGCAGGCAGTCCTGTCGAGTTGTAGATCAGCCAGCTTGTGGCGGAGGAGACGAAGCCCGCCTCGTCGTCCTTGCCCTGGTCCTTCCGGATCTCGACATTGGCGCGCAACTTGAGCTCCTTGCCGGTGCGGAGCGTCGTGAGCGAGCTCGAGAGGGACGAGAACGCGGTGCGCAGCCCACCCGCGTTCAACTCGAGCTTCTGAAAGGAGCCGCGCGGGAGTGCCTCGCCCATCTGCTGCAGCACCTGGTAGTTGAGGTGCGGGTCGCCAAAGGCCACCGTGCCGACGACGACGCGGTCGCGGCCGAGGATGTCGCCGATCTGTAGCACCTTCTGCACGCAGTCCACCCCCACAGCCTCTTGGGTGCTCTTGCGGCACTGCCTCGGCGAGATCGAGCACTCGATTAGCATCGGCTTGCCCCTTCTCGTCTTCAGGTTGCCCGGCGCCGCTGTCCACACTGGAAAGCCGTGCGGGCAGGAGCGCGAGACGTGGTCCGAAGGTGCGCCGTCGCTGAGGAAGAGTAGCATGAGTGTGCCACGGTTGTGCGCGTCGTCCTGCAGAATTTCGAGCGCCTTGTCCAGCGCGGGAAGGTAGTTCCCGTGAGAGCGAGCGTAGCTGCCGCCCCGGGCCTTGAGCGCTGCGGCGAGGCCTGCGTCGAGGCGGGCCTTGTCGATGACGACGTGCGCTTCGTCAGACATCTCGATGAGCGTCACGACGACGTCGGATCCGCACGCGCCGGCCGCGAGCTGCGCCTCCACAAAGTCCCGAGCCAGGCAAATGTACACCGCCGCGGTCCGCGTCTCGTAATTGGGCACGTCCGCCTTCCGCATGGAGGCCGAGTGATCAACAACAAGGACGATGTGGGCCCCGCCCACGCCGTCCGCGGCCGCGAGGTTGACTGCGCCGTCGTTGAGCTTCCAGGACGTGATCTCGTGCTTGCATGTCACGTCGGTGATGAAGACAACGCCCTCGTGGGTGAACCGCCATCTCTGGTCTCCTGCCCGGCCGGGGTTAGCTGGCTCTCTTACGCCGTACTTGACTGCAGCCTGCAGAGCACGCTTCTCGATCCCGCGCTCTTCACGGGAGGGGGGGGGGCAACAGGAACCGACCGACGCTTCATTCGCTCGTATTACTTGTGATTTCACTGCGAAATCCTCTCTGGGGGGAGGCGGTGACCCCCGGCCCACACCGTCCGTGCGCCGCGACGCAGTGCGGAAACAGCCTAACAGGCTGACAGGGCCCCGGCTCTATTAGTCTCTATAATAGCACCGACTTCCAATTAAGTACGGTTAAGTAGAGGGCAGATTTGGAAAGATCTCGAGGAGTACACACAGATAGACCCTCCAACCATCAGAAGCCTCCAGCCTGATCGGTCGTACTGACCGCCGACAGATCACTCCAGAACAGCAGACAGGCTTCCAGACAGGCCGACGTCTGCACGTGGCCGGCCGGGCGAGCCAGGCTTAATGCTCCGCGCTCAATGATGCGCCTCTTGCCACTCTCGAATCCGCCCGCGCAGCGCGTGGTTTGGGGTGAGGATGCTGTGCTCGAGCGCCTCGCCCGTCATCGGGCTCGTCGACTTGGTCGCGAGCCAGCGCTCGATCTGCTTCCGCTCGTAGGAATGGCCGTCCGTCGCCATCACCGGGTCGCTCATCACCTCGGTCGTGATGGGGCAGATGAAGTCGGCCGGCGGCGGCTCCTCCTCCCTCGGCGGCGCCTCCGGCTGGGGCGGCTGCTCCTCCGCCACCCTTCTCTCCTCCTCCAGCCTCGCGCTCTCCTGGAGCGCCGCCGCCAGCTCCGCCTCCTCCGCCGCCGCCACCGCCTCCCCCTCCGCCGCCGCAACCGCCTCCGCCTCCTCGCCTTGCAGCTCCTGCGACGGCCCGGCGCCGCTCCCTCCGCCCCTGCCCTTCTTCTTCTTCTTCCTGGCCTTGCGCTCCTTGACGCGCTGCTCCGCCTCCTTCTCCGCCTCCTCATCCGCCAGAAGCGCTTCCGCGTTCCGATCCGCCGCCGCCGCCAGCTCCGCCATCTCAGCCTCTCTTGCCGCCGCCTCCGCCGCCCTAGCGTGGGCGCGCATGCTCGCGGGCGAGAGGCGGACGACGGTGGTCGTGGGGTCGAAGGCCGCGTTGCCGATCTCGGCGGTGGTTGGCACGGTGACGTTGGTGAGGGAGGAGCAGCCTTCGAAGGCGGCTTCGCAGATGGAGGTAAGGCCGGCGGGGAAGGTGACGGTAGTGAGGGCCTCGCAGGCGTCGAAGGCGCAGTCGCCAATGGAGGTGAGGGTGGCGGGGAAGGTGACGCGGGCGAGGGCGGAGCAGCCGGAAAAGGCAGCGCAGCTGATGGAAGTGAGGCTGGCAGGGAAGGTGACACGGGTGAGAGAGGAGCAGCGGAAGAAGGCGGCCTCGCCGATGAAGGTGAGACCGGCAGGGAAGGTGACGCGGGTGAGAGAGGAGCAGAGGTGGAAGGCGCTGGGGCCGATGGAGGTGAGGCCGGCGGGAAAGGTGACGGTGTTGATGAAGGAGCAGAGGGCGAAGGTGCTGAGGCCGATGGAGGTGATCCCGGCGGGGAGGGTGACGGAGGAGAGGGCGGAGCAGCGGCGGAAGGCGTAGTTGTTGATGGCGGTGAGGCCGGCAGGGAGGTCGATGGAGGAGAGCGAGGAGCAGCCCTCGAAGGCGCTGCTGCCGATGGAGACAAGGCTGCGCGGGAAGGCGACGGAGACGAGAGAAGTCAAGTTGCGGAACGCCCGGTCCGGCAGGTGCGTCATGCCTTCGGGCAGCACCGCGTGCCCGTCGGTGACGACGACCTGCCAGCCGCCCACGTCCAGAATCTCGGAGCCAGTCGGCGAGAGCGTTGTCGTCTGGTTGGCGAGCATCATCTGGTCGGCGGTTTCTGGTCGTCGAGTGCCATCTGGTCGACAGAGAGACAGTGTCCTCTTCAAGATGTGCTCCTCCTGCTTTTGTGGCGTCGAAGATCGAAAAGTCGAGAAACTGCAAAAATTCGCGAGCGTGACACTAATCTACGACAATGTTCGAAGTTTTCAAGTTCGAAGTCTGTCCCCGGGGGATAAATTGGGAAGAAAATAGCAACATGGCCGCCACAAGCGCGATTTTAGCCCCCCGCTACCCGGTCGCAGTCGTGCGACGTAGCGGGGGGCCACGACTACGTACGTTTACGAAAACCCGCCGCTCGGCCTCGACGGACAACCCGAGTGAAGGCGAAACGCCATATCGCCGCGACGCCGCCGACGGCCGAGGACGAGTCCGAATAGGACCGTCACTCACTCGATTTGGGGATCCTTCACGCGCTGCGCTACGCTTCGGAGTCGCTCACCCGGGGATCGCTCCTTCCCTCGCTCCGGTTTGGGGTAACTCTGAGCTCCCTCCGCGTACACGGATCCTCTTTAGCCAACCTCTGAGAGTTTGAGTGTAGACTGGGTAGAGACGACGACGACGATACAGTTCATTGCGCCCGCGACCACAACGGCAGATAGGAAGCCGCCGGATATAACTGGGGCCCCGGACGTAAGTGGGGCGGGCCCGGGCGGGGCCGGTTTGGGCGCTTCGGCCCCCGGGAGTGGCAAGCCGGGCCCGGCAGGGCGCGCGGGCCGGGCCGGGCCCGGCGCCCCACTTTGCAAATCGACCCGTTTCCCATCCAATATCTCCCACTCGGCCGCGCAGAGGCCCCAACTGAGAGCGGGGCCCGGGGTAGGGGGTCCCTACTGGTCGTGCCCACCCCTCGGACGACCCCGGGCGATAGCGGGGGACCCCGCAGCAGCAAACCTGGCGCGGCTCACGATTCAAAGCGTAAAATCCTAAGCACGGTAGTTAAAATGGTCGTTGTGGTGGGCCCGCCGTCGTCTCCGTGCGTGTCGGCGGCGTCTCGCCATCGTGCACGTGCGCGCTCGACCTCTTCCAGTTCGGCGTCACGAAAGTCGTCTACACGCAGGAGCAGTTTGCGGAGCTGCGGGGCGCCCACTTTCCCTCCATGGGATCCGCGCTCGGCGCGGTGCTCGCGCTCGCGCTCCCCGTGTATGGCGAGCCGGAGCAAGGCACCTCCTGGGCGCACGTGTACGTGGTCGGCGAGCTGCCAGAGGATGAGCTGGGAACGGTGCGGGCGCGGCGCGCCAAGGCCGTTCGGGCCATCTCACCGCTCGCGGCGATGCGTCGTGTAAGCGTGCGACGAGACGAGGACGGAACCGGCCGGTGGCTTCCGGTCAACCTTCTCCTCCCCCTCGTCCCGCCGGACATGCCCGCTGACGCCGCGCAGCGCCGCGTAGACGAGGCCCTCGCGGCGGGCCTGCACCACAGCATCCAGCACCGCTCGGAAGAGCAGCGGCGCAAGCGGCCCCTAATGCTTGTCGACGCCGCGGCCGTACCCTTCATCCCCAAGCGCGGCGACCTCAGTAAGCGGCGGAAGGTCAACACCAAGGCGGGCATGGTCTTCTTTGTCGACCGGCTCGGCGCGATGCCGCACGCGATTGAGCGGGTGGAGCGGGAGGGGCCGCCGGGAGCGGACTACAAGGTGCTCTGCATGCGGCCCATCCTGGCCGAGACGGAGGAGCAGGACGTGCGTGTGCCGGAGGGGGAGCTCGTATTCCTGAACGATCGCTTCCACGCGCACTGGCGCCGCTCTGCCGTCTCGTCGCCGCCCCACCCTCTGCCCCTGTGTCCTGAGCGCGTGCTCTCACGACGCGTGCAGGTGCTCGCACACGTCGAACGCCCGTATCACCGAGGCGCTCGAGAGGGCGGTGGTTTCGCACGCACGGTTCCGCGACAAGCTGAGCGAGCACGACATCTTCCGCTCCTTTGTCACGGATGTGAGCGTGCCGGTGCCGAGCCGATTTAGCAGGACGTCCGTGCGCGACCTGCCGGCATTAAGGTCTAGCGTCGCGGGGCCCGATGGCGAGTTTGTACCAGGGATCGATCGCCTCGATCCCGATCGCAGAAAGTGGGTCATCCCGCGCGAGGCGTCGGGCGGAGGCTCATCTAGCGGAGCGCGTCCCGGTGGGGAGTGCGAGAGAGATGCGCCGGTGTAAACGGCTGCTGCTGTGGCCGCTGCAGAGACTTTTGCCGTCGAGTAATGCCAGTCGGGCGCTGACGCTGAGGAAGCGTGCTTCCCAGCAGCGGTGATCGCGGCGAGCACTGCGTACGGCTGGTGACGGAGGAGCGCCACCAGGAGCTCACCGCAAGGAATCGCAACCGGGCCCCGCCGTTCCCAGTGGGCTTCGCTGAGCGATGGTAGCTCTGTCTTCACTGGCTGGGGCGCCTACCGGGCAGCCGCCCCGAGCAGCGGGGGAATGGTGGATTCGCAGCGCGGCACTCGATTTTGTTCCTATGCGGCGCAGAATAAACTGACCATTGACTGGCAGTTTGGCATGAAACGCTGATTGCTGAGCCGCGAGAGGTTGGCGTGGGCAATGCAGGCTAAAGCGGCGGCAGCCAAGAAGCTTGGCTGCCAGGCGCCCTCGATGCTGGTGCATGGGATGAAGAACAAAACTTGTGGCAGATGACGCAAGGGTCGTTGTATCCGAGCTCCTTTGCGCGGGCGCGCTTCCACGCGAGCATCGCCTCGTAGGCCGGCTGCTCCTGCGGCCGCAGGTGTCTTGGGGAGGTCGTCCTCAACCTCGAGCACCTCCTCCTCGCCCTCGGCCCCTGCAGCCTCCCCTGCAGCCTCCCCTGCAGCCTCCGTCGCCCCCGCAGCCTCCTGCCTGTCCGCCGCCCTCCCGCGCCTGGCCTCCCGAAGAGCCGCGGCGTGCGGCTCCAGCGTCGCGAGGAGGCGCGCGCCGTGAGCGCTCGCCTTTGCCTCGCCCCAACCCCAGCAGCTGAGCAGCGCCTCGACTGAGCGAGGCACGCACCGCACCATCGCCATGAGAGCGCGGTTCTGCGCGACGTGGTAGGCGGCGCAATCGTTCTCGCGGGCGACCCTTTCTTCTCGTCGCGCAAGAGGCCGTACACGAGCGCCTCGTTCGGGAAGAGCTCCGCCTCCGATGCCGGTGCCGGGTCCTCGTGGCTCGGCTCTGTCGGCGGGCGCTGCACCTTTGGCTTGCGGACGACGGTGGGCTTTGGAGGCGCGAGCGCCTCGAGGCCGAGCTGAGCGAGGACAGCCTGGTTGCGCTCGATGTTTTTAAGCCGCACGATCTCGTAGGCGGAGAGGGACATGGGAGGATTTGGCGCGAATCGCCCCCCCTGAAGGCCAAGAACAGGCTTTTCAACAAAAAGAAATGTTCGTTAGAGACGTTAGATCCAACAGAAAGCTCGCAAAAAAAATTCCGTGCTCTCCCGGAGCTGCTTGCTTTTCGCGGACAATGGCACAAACCACAATCCTTCGGCTTCGCAAATTTCAAAGATCGGTAGAGTTTAGACAAAATTCTCTCACAGCACTAAGAAACACTTTGTGCGGCCCGCACCCCCTCCACTCGTAGTCCGTACGGCTCTACGCCGACGCAAGGGACGCACAATGCTGTCGCTCATTTGCGGTCGATGCGCAGCGATCCCGGTCCCGGTGCAGGCCATTTGTGGCCAACAGCGGCCACGCCGTCGACGCCCGTTCGCGCCTTGCGCCAGGCGAGATACATGGACCACGCCGGCTCGAGCTTGCTGCCGTCGGCGTAAGCCACGCGGCGCAGCGTATACGCAATGCTTGCGGGGCCGGGGCAACAGAGGGGCAGCACCCAGATGCGCCTCTCGCGCACCTCCCCTTCGCCGTCGATGACGTGCATCGAGTTCTTCCAGACCCAGTCGGGGACCAGGAGGAGGTGGCCTGCCCCTGAGCCGGAGGCGCCGGGGCACGCCCGCTCCGGGCAGCATGCACAGCAGGATTTGGCGGGGCAGCAGAGCGGGTCAAGGGTGAGGTGGACCCACCCGCGCGCGAGGGTCGCGTCCTCGAAGGTCATCACCACGCCCGGCTGGCAGATCCCCTTCATGCACAGCTCGAACGCACCGCACGCGTCGCCGCGGACCTGCGCAGCGGCGAGGAGTGAAAAGAGAGGGAGAGAGTTGTATTCGTGTTAGCTCTGCGAGGCGGCGTGACTTGGGAGGGGCACGGCTCACCGGCCAAATCGGGGAGACGAAGGCGTGGTCGTTGCGAAGGGTGAGCGTCTCCGCGTCCCACTCCGAGCCCGACAGCATCGCCAGCTCCTCGGCGCACGGGTTCGCCTCCATGTGCCATGTGCCGCTGAGGGCGGCGGGCAGGTCCGGGTTCTTCTGGACCTCTGCCATTTCGTCGAACCACTCGCCCGCGGTCGCGAAGTGCCGCAGCTCCTTGCCTGGATTGCAAAGCTGTGCGCAAGAGAAGCACATCCGCTCCATTGGCCCGAGGAAGAGCGGCGGCCACGGCCACGTCGGCGCAGCGCAGCACGTGAAACACAGGCCGGCCCCTCTCGTCGGGCATATACTGTTCGTGCACTGGTGAGGGAAAACGGCCCGAGGGTCCGTCCACGCGCAGCAGCTGTCCGAGCAGCAATCTGTCCTGCCACAGCAGTAGTTGGCTGCAAAGACGGTGTCGGCCGGAACGACGGCGTTGCCACCGACGCCCGGCCCGGTCCACGCGGACGGCCCGCCCTGACGCAAAGAGCGAGCAAGGGCGACGTACTTTTGGCTCGGAGGGCGCGACTTGGGCGGCGGAGGCATGGTAGCAAGGGAGGAGCCCGGGCGCCGCGCTTGGGGCACGGCGCCGCCTCTTTTCTCTCTCGAGGTCTCGAGGTGGGGATCCTTTGGTGGGGAGGGTGCTCGCAGCGTGCTCCCGCCCTGCGGCAGTGGATCCGGTAGTGGCTGAACAACATAAGTGAGTTGCACTGAATGGACACGCCCCGCGGAAGCGGCTGTCGGCGTGGCAATGTCTCCGGACCGCTGACCGAGCTGACCGAGCTGAGCAACGACATGGTGTGAGAGCATGAAGCACAGATGGTGGGGGGGCGAGGGTGGTGGAGTCTTGTCCAGAACACCTGCCTGCTGTGTGCTGCCGGCGTTGTGGGAGGCGAGAGCGAAGGGGACCATTCGAACAGACCATCTCATCGTAGGGAGCGGCGGGCACTCGGGCGGGCAGAGGTGAGGGAAAAGGGCCAGCGGAGAGTAGTAAAGGCACCCAGGGAATTCTTTTTTGGGAGTTTGCGCTCGTCCCTCGTCCCGTGGTTCGCGCTCGTCCGTGTGTCGTCCTGATGAGTGTTTTGGTTCCGAGTCTCCAGTTCGCTTACAATGGATCGGATGCAGGCGGCTCCTAAGCTGCGGATCCTGCTCTCCGTGTGGGGCTCCCGCGGCGACATGCAGCCCTACGTCGCGGCGGCGCTCGGCATGATGGCGGCCGGGCACAAGGTGAGCATTATGAGCAAGCCCGACTTGAAGGCGTTCGTCGAGGCGAACGGCGTCAACTTCCTCGGGTTTGACGTGCCGACGGAGGCGGCAACGCCGGAGAAGCAGCAGGACGGCGACAACAACCCGTTCTTACGGGCCAAAGCCGATGCCGCAAAGATGTTTGACGAGGGCGTGAGCTTCTCGTATTGCATGAACAACATCGCCACGATCTTTCACAGCAAGACGGAGACTGTAAACGAACGGAACGCCTGGCTGCTGCAACTGCTGCAGCTCTGCTCCAAAGGGCCGGACGGTACGCAAAATCGCTGCAGACGGTCGGACGCGCTGCTCGGCGCGCACGTTCGGCTGGAGCCCGGAGGATCACACAAGGCGTATAGAGGAGCGCGCGCGGCCTTCGACAGTGAAGTACGAAGGGTGTGAGATCTGAGTGCAGAGGCTGTGAAAGAAACGGTTCCAGTAGGGATCCCTATTTGCAACCAAAAAGGAGCACTCGCACAGCCTGCCACTCGCACCAGCGACTGCAGAGGTGAGGAGGGGGCGGGGACGGCCCGGCCTCGGGACCAGCACACAGCGCCATTGGACGGATTTCCTTCTCAATAACAAGGTCGAGGAATTTTCTGCGTGTGCGAGGTAGTCCGAAAATTCTTTTTATTAAATTCTTTTTGTCGGCGGGCGCTCGGCTCGCGCGTCAAGGGAGGTGTAACAGCCTGACAGATGGGGTGCGGGGAGAGCAAGCCCCTGCCGCTGCCTTCCACCACAAGCAAGCCCGCCGAGCTGGGAGAGAAGCGGGGAGAGCAACTCGCGCCGGAGAAGCAGCCGGTCAGCAAGCCCGATCTTGACGATGGAATAGTGTCAACAGACGGTGTCGAGGTTGCGGCTCTGGGGGAGGCGAGGGCCTAGGGGGTACCCATGCGGGGGGGAGATGGGGTCCCCCAGCCCGCCGCAGGCGCCGATTTTTTGGCATGTTTTTCTTTTTCGCGCGATTTTTTACTTGTTTTCCTGGGAATTCGGCGTACTTGCGGCCATGCTATCACGCCTTGCGACATCCTTTCGGCGCTGCTGACCGTGCCATGCTGCTCAACTGACCGCCTGCATAGCTCGCGGCCTTAGTCTTCGGCATTCAGTGACGACCTGATCGTACGGCCAGTAGGAAGGTGTCCTTCCAGCGCGTGCACGCTTCTGACGCAATGCGCGTCACAAACTGCCTCAGATTGGCTGCTGGCACTCTCGAGGCTATGCCTACACAGCCTCGCGCGCATGGGCAGTCAAGAGGGACCGTGCACCTTCTCAGGACAGCGCCGGTGCCTCTCTCTTGGACCGGCAAACGTGGTGGTCTCGTGTCACCGATGTGGGACCAGTGCGGCATCGCGCCATCGACAGCTCTGAACTGCGCCTCACCACTGACCGGGAAGGCCGCCAAGTGGGTCAGCACCGGTCACACATTGTGGCAGCAGTCAGCAGTTATCTGATAGCTAGAGCAGCAGCGTCAGGGTCGCAGGGTCGGATCGTGTCAAGCCTCTCGCCCGGCCGGCCGTGTGCAGACGTCGGCCTCGTGTCTGCTGTCTGGAGTGATCTGTCGGCGGTCAGTACGACCGATCAGGTCGGAGTTTTCTGATGGTTGGAGGGTCTATCTGTACGTACTCCTCGAGATCTCTCCGAATCTTCCCTCTAACCAACCGTAACCATTCGGGAAGTTGGTGCTAGTAGAGACTAGTAGAGCCGGGGCCCCGTTTCCGCACTGCTGCACGACACAGCTCCACCCCCACCTCCCCCAGAGGGTTGAGGAGAAGGGCTATGCTGCCGGCAAGTCAGCGCTCACCGCCGCCGACCACAAGGGCATCCCGCTGCTGGCGGCCCTCGACGAGCTGCTCGTCGCCGACGACAAATAAAAACTCCGCTCGGGCGATAAAAAAACACCCCGGGACTCAAAACTAGGGGGTTGTATCAGAGGGGGGGGGGTCTGAGGCAAGGGGGCCCAGATCTGCTCGTCTCAGAGGGTACCCTCTGTGCCAAGAGAGGCCATCCACGAGCGGCTCAGAGGGTGCCTGGGCCGACCCTCTGAAGGCCTGTGCCGCCAAGCCAGCCTCTCTCGGCGCAGCCTCTGAGGCTACGGGGACCCTCTGAGACGCCAAGGCAAGCCCCGCGAGGCCGCTCCTCAGAGGGAGTTTTCAGCGGTATTTCAAGTCTGTCGTGATCCCCCACCAAGCAGAGAGAACCCCCCCCAGCAGGCCCAGCTTCCATTGGTTTCGGATACCTCAAGTTCGAGTTCACTAGGACGCCGCGGCGCCTCATGGCCAAGCTGGAGCAGGGGACGGATGTGGAGATCACTACCTCCTCCTCGGGCGGCCGCTCCAAGCACATCCTCACTCAAGTTGACGGGTCGGCGGCGCCGCTGGCCGCGCGAAGCTGTCGCGCAGGGGTCGGCGCGGGCGCTGTGGGCGAGCCTGCAGCAGCAGCAAGCGTGTGTGGTGCCGGGCGCTCGAAGCGTAGAGTAGCGCCTTAGTCATGCTCGCTGCTTCCGCCCCCTCCCCGCCCTCCCTGGTCAGCGCCGTTCGTGGAGGGCTAGGCGCTCCGGCCTCCGCCCGGGGCTCTCGCCTCTGTCTGCCGAGAGGGGGCTACCCTCTGAGGTCAACGCCCTCTGTGCCGCGCCAAGACAGACCCTCGGCCGGGGACCCTCTGAGGCCAAAATCAGCCAAGAGAGGCCACAGAGGCGGCACAGAGTCAGAGTCAAACCCTCTGTGCCGCCAAGCCAGGGGTCCGACCCCTCCTCAGAGGGGGGTCTGAGGCCTCAGAGCGTGTACAACCCCCTAGTGACTCAAAGCGAGAAGAGGAATCATCGTCAATCAATGGCGGTGTTCAGTGACCTTGACGGGCTCGCGGTGCAGCGCATCGTTCACTTTCTCGAGGTGTGTGAGCTCGCACGTGCGGCGTGCGCTAGCCATGACCTCAGCACGTTCTGTGCCGCGGAAACGGAGGCACGCGCGCGTGCTCGAATTAAGCTGTCGTGGTACGGCAGCACTGGCCTATCTGCACAGGAGGCATGCAATGAGCTGCTGCCTGAAGTCGAGAAGCCAGGGTATTGCGTCGAACGACCGTATTCGACCTCCGACCTGCTGGCGCTCGCAGCGCAGTACGCAGGTGGCTGGGGCCGGCTGCTTGCACGCCGTGACGGCGCCGCCATCAGTGTCCAGCAAACGCCGGTAGCTGGGCCAGTTCCAACCGTCGATGCGTGCCTCGTGATGTGGGACATCGTCATGAACGGTCAGGAGAAGGCAGTCTGGAGTGGCCTGGGTCCGCTGATCGATGAGCTGGGCGTTGCGTATCGTACGAACGTGACCGACATGTCTGGAAATCCGATCGAATGTGACATCTGCAATCTGGTCCCCTTCGGTTCTCCCGATTCCCAAGGTCAGGCGCCCTGGTGGGACGCACGCGAGCTGGTCGGTCCACACTATGACCCCTCCGACTGTGTCATCAGCACCAACCTCGACGAGCTCGCGGGTACCGGCGTGCGGCACCGTGTCTCGCTTCTTACGCCTGGTGGTGAGAAGCCTGTTTACCTGAGCCTCGAGATGAGCCGCTACTTCAAGCCTTGCTTCGACGCGGTTACAGCGCCTGGATTTCATGACGTTGGTGGATATTCTGCCGGTATCTTATGCAGCAGCTACGCGAGGCGATTGAAGATTTTCATGAGGCTGCAGATCCTGATGGGCCAGGCGGGGGGCTCGCGGCCGGTTGCGTCTTTTGCGATCTCGACGAGGCCCGCACCTCAGAGGGCCCAATTCCAGGTACCCTCGACTTTCGTGTGCAGGACAATTTCTTCCTTTTCGGCTGTAATACCAGCGTTGAGCTCTTTTCGAGGATCCACTTGCCAACTCGAGCGGTGCGTTACATGATCGTGATCTCTTTTGACGACGAGATGTGGCAGTGTGTGCTCGACAACTGCAATCCGGCTGATGGGCAGCCTTGGCCGTCTTCAGAGGATGACGACGAGTGAGGTGTAAGTGACTGTGGTACGATGTGGATGCATATACACTCTGTTTAAGATCCAGTATTTTAAAAAGATTGCCGGCACACAACACAGAGAGAAGTTGAGAACAAACGGCACTCGGCAGGCAAACAACAGCGGGGAGAGAGGCGCGTGTCACACATGCAAGAGCGCTCACACCTCACTCAGCAACGTACATGATTGTGTACACCGTGGAAGAGAGGCCGTGCCTGTCTCCTCCCTGGCGAGAACTATGCCGCCGACACGGAGAGGGCGCGGGGAGGCTCACGCAACGTCGGCGGTGCGCGGCTCGGCGGCGGCCTGCCCGGCGGCGGCGGCCTCATCCTTCGGCGCGAAGAACTTTTGCGACTCCTCGAAGTACTGGTTGGGGTGATTGATACCGCCGAGGTCCGTCTCGATGAGCGTCGACCCCTTGTGCCGCGCCTCGAAGAACTTGCCGCACGCCACTTGGTAGTGCTGCCCGCGCACCTTGTCGAGGATGTACTGCACGTCTTGCGCCCCCACCTGATGGGGGCACGACACGCCCCTGGTCTCGAGGTCTCGAGGAGTGCGGACGTCCTGACGCCACCCCGAGCACCTGCATCTGCTGAAGCGTCGCGCGCATCTGGCCCTCGTCGTAGTTGCGGAACGGGCAGCCGTGATGCTCGCCGGCGGCCGCGTTGGCGCCTAGAAGGGATGACACAATGGACGGGGTTGAGCTCATTCATTCATTCAAGTCTCGTTGCGGTGGCGGGAGAGGCGCGTGCCCGACGAGTTGATGATCTTGCCGCAGGACATGGCGCTCCAGTCCTGCCGCTTGCCCTCCAAGCCGTAGTTGTAGCGGATGCCTGTCCGCACCGCTGGCCATGAGGGCGGGGGGGAGGGGGGGGGGGGGGAGGATCCACCAGGCGATGGAGGGGGGGCGCGCCGTAGCCGTAGTCTCGCATGAACTTGTCGGCCGCCATTCCCTTCTTGGTGAATTCGGCTCGGAAGAAGGCCGTCGACTCCTCACAGCTGAGGCCTACTCACAGCCACTCGCAGTCCGAATGCCTCGCTCGCAGGCGCTCGGAGACGCTCGGAGACGGCCACGCAGGCTGGCAGTGTGGAAGACACCCGAGTAGGGTGTGAGTACGGTCTCGTGCCGTGTACTCTGAGCGCCGCGTGAATACACGGGCTACGAATACAGGGAATGCCGCTGAATACGGTCGAGCACAGCCCAGCCCGTGTCCTCTCGAGCGCTGGTCGGACTACCGGGTGCGTGTCGCGCTTCTACGCTTGGGCAGGCCGATTGTCTTCAGGAAGAGTCCGAACTGCTGCCGCGCAGAGTGCTTGAGGTGTTTCGTCTCGAGCAGCTTGGCGTGCATGTTGTGCATGCAGAGAGGGAAGGAGCGGCGGCTGACGGTCGGCAGGTCGGCCAAGCTCACCGCCGAGCCGGAGCGAGGGCGCGAGTAGTCGTCGCCCACGTACTGCGTCGCTAGCCCCTCGAGGAAGGAGGCGAGCCGGTCCGCCTTGTGGGAGAGGGGGGGGGGGGGGGGGGTAAAAACGGAGGCCAGGAGGGAGGTGGGGGAGGGAAGGGGGAGGCGGGGAGGGCGCTGGAAACGGAGGCGGGGAGGGAGGTGGGGGAGGCGGGGAGGGCTCCGGCTCCCCTTTGGCGGGCGGCGAGGCGAGGAGGAGGGGGGGAGGATCCCAGCCGGCGGGCGTGGATGGACGGCAAGGGTGGCCGCGAGGGGAAGCGGGCAGGGGGGAGGGGGGGGAGAGAGCAAGCGAGGCGGCGGCTCGTTTCGCGCCTCCTCCTCGCGCAACGCCGGCCACTGATGCGACGCCGTGGCGAGCCGGCGCGACCACTGCGCGCGCACGGCGGTCGCGACGATCGAGACGAGGTCGGCCGCGGGGACGAAGGCGGAGCCGCCGCGCAGATAGACGCGCCGCTGCCGCACCAGGTCGACCACCTCCTCGAACGCCACCTTGTAGTGCTCGGACCGCTCCGCCGCCGGGTCGAGATCGCGGCGCGACGAGAGCGCCTGGCGCAAAGGGGGCGGCGGCGCACAGAGCGGGGGTCGTGCTTGCACGGGGGCGGGAGGGCGGGGAGGGCGGCTGAGGCGATGCCTGGTGCAGCTCCTCCTTGATCTCCTCGTACTCATCGCGCGAGATGGCCTCGTACTGGAGACCCTTGGCGCGCAGCCAGGCGGCGCGGTCCTCGGGCGGGTTGTTGACAAACCGCCACTTGAAGAGCTCCAGCTCATTCTGCAGGAACCACCGGCGCAAGTCCTCCGAGCGGCAGTATGCCAACCGCAGGATGAAGTGCGAGTAGTAGTCCTTGATCAGGCCCGTGGGTGAGAGGGGCATGAACTCGTCGCGCGCCTTGCGGATCCGCGCCTCGAGCTCCGCACCCTTGAGACCCTTGGCGCGCGCGAGCTCGATGGTGCTCAGGACTGCGACACGGGAGGCTGTGCGTTAGGAATGCGCCGCGGTGGGCAGCATGCAACTACATGGTTTGTCGTCTCTCGCTCGGGGGTGGCGGCCGCACGTCGCAGCCGGTCGTATGCAAACTCCTCAAATTCGGAGACGGAGATGGGCTCCGCTGGCGGGAGCTCGTACATCGAGAGGGCGGAGACGCGTCCCGCCGCCGGCTTCTCCGGAGCCACGCGGCGAGCCACCTGCATTGCGACAGCTCGCCGTTGGGGCGCTCCCGCCAAACTGTGGGTTCATCTACTGGCACGACAAGGGCGTGGGTGCGCACACTAGCACACACACCACTGTCAGGCGCTGTCCGGGGTTTGCTGCAGGCTGTCAGACCGCCAGGGCTCACTCAGGCTATCTCCCCGTATCTCCCTCGATCTCCGCGTATTCCCCTCTATCTCCCCGTATGCCGTATCTCCAGCTGGCTGTGTGTCTTGTGAGCTTGTGGTGTGTGTCTGTGTGTCGCTCGATCGTGTCGTCGTCATCTGTCTCGCGTCCACCCATACACCGCGTTTTGGTGTCCAGTCACCGAGTCTGACTGTTCTTCACCTTCCTACACATTCATACAATACATACGAGGGTGGGCGAGTGGGTGAGGGTTGGCGGAACCTCTCTCGCCCTCTCTCTGATGGCGGCGCTCTGCGCCAGCCTGGATTGGCAGAGGGGGGGACGAGGCGACCAGCCGAGCGCCGCCGCAGCGCGGGCGCGAGCAGAGCGAATGGCCAAGTGCTCATCACGACCGCTACAGCGACGCATGCAAGTTACATCCGACCCCCACCCCACCCCCAAGACTCGAATAGTATCATGCTCGCTCTTGCAGCCCCCAGCGTACCGAGTTTATCACGGCATAGTCTGCCCTGTACTCGTCTTCCACCTTTCTGAGCAGCCTGGGTGTGAACAACATCGCCACCCTTTCCGAGGCACCAGTGAAATGTTTGCTCTGAGTGGTGTTGCGGCTAAACATTGAGCCATCACCGCCACCAGGCCAATCATGTGCCCCAAAGGTATCCCAGAGTCCGACGAGGCGCAGAAGTGCCCGAGCGTGCTCCTGGACACGTCCAAAGTCGCCCACAAAATTGTAAGGTATGTGGCCGAAGCCGCACACGTTTGTCTGCAGTCGCCAGTGTAGGTCGACCGTCGAGGACAAGTTCTGCAAAGACACAAAGTCGGAGAAACTGAGGTTTCCGGTCCTCCTGGTCACGTCCAAGAAAGCCTTGGTGTATCGGGTCTTCCGTGCAACGAGCGCCTGTGCGGACCGGGCGGCTGAGCTTGAACTAGCACAAGGGCCCCAAGTGGTGGGGTTTCCACACACGAATTTGTCCATAAATGCAGAGAGGATGCGCTCAGCTGGATCTCGGAGGAAGACCGCCTTGACGAAGCCTGGGTCGCGCATGATCTCATCCCAACGCTGCGCCGAGATCTGCAACTTTTTCATGCTGAAGGCCTGCCTTTTGGCGGTGTAGTGCACATAGTCCCACGGCCTAGTTGTGTTCCAAGCGGAGTCGCCGGTCACGCGCAAGAAGAGGTGCAGCCACTCCGTGAGGCCCACCTTCGGGATGCCGCAGAAAAGGAACCGGTGCTCCTCCGAAATCATGAGATACGGCGGGAGTGCAGGCCTGAGCAAAGCAGGCATATGCGATGGGAACGGGCCTATCGCTCGCCAAGGAAGGAGACACTCGGCCAAAAGTGCCGCGCCCGAAGCGGTTCGCGCGAGCGCTGCCGTGCCCGTCGCCAAGTGGCGGAAGAATCTGTGCCTGCCGAGAGAGAGGTCGAAATTTACAACAAGAACAAAACTCCCTCGCACGACGCTGGGCACGCAACTAGCGCGCGCACTGGCACTAGCACAGAGAACCCACGTCAAATTCTGATTCGCAGAGGATTTTTATCGCGCCAGCCCCTCTCCACGCAGGAACGAGTCAATCAATCAACTGCGCCCCCCTTCCTTTCTTTCCATCCACCCCACCCCGACCAATCACCCTTGCTTGCTTGCAAAATCCTGCAAAGGTGGGGACGCCTGTCCTCTTCCCAGCCCTAGGCCTAATAAAAAATAAAAAAAATAGATATTCTTACCTTCTTGCCCCCCTCCGAGACTGGAGACACCCACACCCCAGTATCAGACCAGCCAGGGGGACTGCCCCCCGCCCCCGCTTGCCCTCCCTGCGCAGGATAGCGTGCCCCGATTACGGCGACACTTAGTCGCCCGTGTGCGCGCGCACCGGTAATGCCGTATGCGCCGCGATGCCCGAAAAATACCTTCCACCTTGGATCCGATGACATTATGATCCTTGTGGAAAACTAAACAGAGCATCTCTCAGCATGGGCTGGGGTGAACACTGAACACTCTTGAACAACGTTGAGAATTTCAGCCAACATTAGTGCAACTGTGAGACCCAAAGTTGACGTAGCGCGTTTTTGGCAGCTCTACCTCGAGAAGCTACAAGTGCGACAACGGTGGCAGTGCGTCACAAGCTGGCGTTTCGCGACGCTGCCGTTCCTCCCTTGTAGCACGCAGCATCGAACCAGGATGCACAGCCCGGCTCTATGTCGACCGTTGCGTCCACCGGCCCGTCTAGGAGGTCGACGATGAGGGTGACCCGTTCGTAGGGGCCGGTCTGCGTCACGCGGTGCGGAATGCGGTTGTTGACCTCAAACGCCTCTCCCTCCTTGAAGGGGATCTCCTGCCACGCCTCCTGTCCCGCCTCCCCCTCGGCCCGCTGGCGAACGTGCGAGAAGCGGATGCACTTGGGTATGAGGACTGGGATGTGGTACCTGTGCGCCGTCGTCGCGTAGAAGCCGCGGTCCTGGTGCCGCGCAATGTCTGCGCCGCGGGGCATCCGGTTCATCTGCACGCGCAGGAGGCGGTTGCGGTACTCGGGGCCGAGGCCGAGCCGGCGCCCGAACAGCTCGTCCAGAAGGGGCAGGAGCGCGGCGGAGAAGCGGCGCCACGCGGGGAACAGCACGCGCCAGCGCTGCGTCTGCGGCCATGGCAAAGCGCCCAGCGCGCCGGGCGGCGCCGCGCGCGCCAGGGCGGAGCGGCGGAGCGCCTCGGGGGAGCACGAGAAGATGAGCTTGGCATTCTGCACGCCGCGAAACACCTTTCCGTAGTTTGGCAGGCCGGGGAAGAGGTGCAGCCAACTGTGCGAGCCGCCCCACAGGTCGGCCCTGAGCGGGGGAGGGCGGCGGGGCGGCGTGCGTGCGCGTGGAGAGGGCGGTCGAGAGGAGCTCGCTCATCGACGAGGCGACTGACGAGGTGACTTCTCTGGCCGCTTCGTCTCCGGAGGAGCTAGGCTGGGGGCTAACGCTCTGTGTGCGGCCACGCGGCGACGCCTTCCGAGGCCGACGCGCCAATGCGGGGTCGGTGCCATGCTAGCCCCACGCAGCGGTTGTGTGTCGCGGCTGCCTCAGCAGCATCTAAGCTCTCGCGCCAGTGGAGCAACGTCAGCGCGCGCAGCTCGGTCACGTCCACCGGTCCGAGGCTGACGATGCGCTCGGTGGCCTGACAACGGAGGGGGCACCACTGCTGCGAAGCCCGGGAAAGGGAGGGAGGGAGGGAGGGAGGGGGAGGGAGGAAGAAGGAGGAAGAGGGAGGGACGGAGGGAGAGCAAGGGAGCTCCCGCGGGGTCAGCTCTACGACGACTGCGACTGCGACTACGACTGCGCCGATGACTACAGCTGCGGATATGTTGACTATAGCTGTGGACATTAGGGGACTGGTTGGAATCAGGGCTCGCGTACTCGCTCGGAAGGACCTGCCGTCTCCCCCCCTAGGCAGACTCCCCCCCTAGGCAGACTCCCCCCCTAGGCAGAGATGTGCGACTACGGCTCCCTCACCGGCATGGCGCGAGGGGCGGCGCCGCGGCGCATGGCCTTTGCCGCGAGGGGAATGGTGCCCGGCGGCGCGAGCGCGCTCAAGTACGACGGGTGAGCGATCAGGTTGAGCAGCCCGTGCGTCGGCAGAGGTCGGCGCCACAGCTCGGCGCCCGAGGCCAGCTCCAGGGCCACGAGGGTCGAGTTGACTCGCTTCCGAAGTAACCGCCGCTGCGGCGGCGAGAGGCCAAAGTAGGCGACCCCACCGTGCACAGCGATCCCTTTGAGGAAGCACGGCGTCGCCGCTCGCCACAGCTCGCGCGGCGGCGGCGGCGGCGCCGCCCTGCTCGCAGCGGGAAAAGCGGGCAAAGACGTGGCGAGCAGCCGACCGCCGTCCGAATCGAGAGTGAGGAGCTCCCCCCGCCAGTAGGCGAGGCCGTGGGACGAGTTTCCGACGGCGGGGAGCCGGCCGGCAGACATATGGCCGCTGCGCTCGACGATTTGGACTTCGGATGGAGCCCGGCGCAGCCCGTGCAGCAGCACAAGCATGGTCGAGGGCGTGAGAGCCACCTGGAGCGAAACCGTCCGTCACCTACCGCGTCGCAGGGCGCCGCACTACCCCCGCTGCCTCTCCGTGCGCATCTCGTATTGCGGACGTCTGAGCAACGACTCGGTATCCCGGCGAGCGCTAGAGCGCACTGTGTTGATGTGGTCTCTGCGGCGCCACAGCGCATGGCGGCGCACGAGAGCGAGGCTGCCGACGTCGTACACGTTGATCGCGCCGCTACCCGTCGAGACCACGTACACGCGGTCGCCATAGCGCACCGCTTCGTGGCCGTCGAAGGTCGCCTCCGCTTGCACCCGCCGCAGCACGTCGCCGGTCGACAGCGCTACCTTGCAACCACAGTGCTTCTGAGCAAAGTGCCGCCCATCTCCCGCCCACTACACGCGCGCACCTCAATGAAGAGCGACTCGCGGAAGGGCGGGCCGGTGCCGGGCGTGGCGAGGGTGACGAGAGATCGGCCGTGGTCAGCGGCAAAGGCGCCACGGAAGCGCGAGTCGCGCTCCTGGCGGGCGAGGAGGGGTGGTGGGGGTCGGTGCGCGTGGACTCGCGTCGCGCCGTGTGCTGGCGTGCAGCAGCCACTTCGAGAAGGAGCGAGGTGCTGAGCGACTCCACATCGAACCACAGCAGCCGCGAGTGGGTCATGAGCAGGAGCCGCGAAGGCACCAGCTCGCGCGGCGCGAGGTCGTGTGCGGCGCCAGAGGTGGAGACGAAGGGGTCGGGCACGACGGATGTGGAGCCGCAGGCGGATGTGTCAAAGGAGCTCAGCAGCGGCTGGTCAGCGAGGAGTGTGGCCATGACTCAATACTGCAAATCCAGCCACCCCTGTGTTGTTGCTGCGAGTTGCTTGGTGTGGATGGGCAGAACATCAACAACGCTGCTCGCAACATGCGTGTCGCACACTCATTCATGACCGGTCTCAATGCACCACGCCCCTGCGCGCGGGCCTTCTAGGCCCGCGGGTAGTCTCCCCCCATCCCCAGGGCCTCCAGGGCTCGCACCTCAACCTCTCACAGACCAGCGCATAGCGCCATAGGACGTATTTTCTTCTCATAACAAGGCTGTGAATAGAGTTCGTACACCGAGCAGCAGGGAGCTCCGCAAGACCGAGGGCCCTCGGTCTTCACAGCGGAGTGGCTGGGGCTATACCAGACAGGCGTCGGTCAGAGTGAAAGGGGCATCGAAAGAATTACGAAGATGGTGAGTCTCGAGCAGGCGTCGAGCGCGGGCTCAAACGAATTACGAAGATGGTGAGTCTCGAGCAGGCGTCGAGCGCGGGCTCAAACGTGAGAGGTTCAGACGAATGTTCAGACCCAAAAATCGTAATCGAGGATTCACCACGAACCACCAACCATTCATGAATCAGACTGCTCCCGCCCCCTTTCTTTCTCGGTAGACTCCCATCCCCTCAGCTCAGACGCCAGAGTGTATGAGTGCACCTTGTCAGACACACAATACCCACTTTTGGGACACAGTCGGATATCCCTCTGCCGTAGTGTTTTGTTTTCATCGACACGGTCTAGATCACAGCGGATCGTGCAGATAGTCCCGCAGCGTGGTTGGCCGATAGACGGCTGGCGCAGGCGTATCGGCGGAGGATCGCGCGGCTCCAGACTGCACCATCATGACTAAAGCAGACTGCCTCAGCTAGACTAGCCGCCCTAGACGCCAGAGTGCACCTTGTCAGACACACAATACTCACTTGGGCCACAGTCGGATACTAAAGCAGACTGCACCATCATGACCGCGACGCTCTGAGGCCAGATGTCGCGCGAGTACGACTCCCTGACGTCTTTCACCGCCCGTTCGAGAATCTGGACCTCAAATTGGCCGCGCTTGGATTGAAAGCAGTCGCGGAGGGCCTTCATTTCCCCTGATGAGAACTCCGGGTAGCCGATGAGCTCATCAAACACGATGACTGTCCCGTTCACGATGGCGTCGCGTTGAACAAACGAGCACAAGACGTCCTTTGCGGAGGCGTACAGGTCGCCGTCGACGTGGATGAAGGCTGTCTCCTTGTGGGCCATCGAGGCCAAAAACGTTGGCAAAGTCTCGTTGAAGAGCCCGACGTTGTAGGCGACGTTCTTGAGACCGAGGCGTGGCACCTGACCTCCGAGAGAGAAGGCGCCCTTGCCGGTGTACTTCTTTTCGAATCTCTTGGACGGCCCGTCACGCCACTTTGACGGCAGTCCTTGGAAGGAGTCAAAGGCAAAGACGTGACAATCGCTGCCGCAAGCAGCCGAGATTGTCTTGAGCGTGTCTCCTTTGAACACTCCGAACTCAGCGACGAGCCCTCCCGGCACGGCCTGCAGGGCCTGTCGAAGCGGCTTGACCACACTGTGCTGGTCCTTCGCCACGTGCGGCGCGGCTGCGATGGCGGCTATCATCTCCTTGACAAAGGAGGCGTATGGCAGCTCGAGCGAGACGCGCCCGCTGGGCGGCGGCGTGCCCGGCGCCGACCTCGGGGTCGCCCACGGCGCCGCCTGCGCCGACTTTGGCGAGCGCGGCGACTTGGGAGAGCGCGGCAGGCCCGACGTCTCGGCCTGGATGCTCAGCGCGTGTGCCTCGTTTTGGTGCGCCTCGTACGCCTTCTCCGCGGCGGTCTGCCGCTCGACGGCGGCGAGCGTAATGGACGACTGGTACGCGGCCGCCCAGTCGGCGAATTCGTCCGCCTCCGGCGGCGAGGGCGGTGGCGGGGGAGGCGAGGGCGGCGGCAGCGGTGGTGTCGGCGGCGGCATTGGCGGCGGCGGCGGCGGTGGCGTCGGCGGCGGCTGGAGCGAAGAGGGCGACCCACGATGCACAACAACATACAGCGCAATCGTGAGCAGCACGTTGACGAGGATGGAGAAGACCAGGAGGCGAAATCGTGTGTTCGCCTTTCCGTCGCCGGTGTTTCCGTCGCCACCGCCAATAACGGAGCTTGAGCGTTCCATGCGAGGCCTCCTTGGGCTTGGGTCCTCGACCGACGCGATACTGCTCGAGCGCACCAGTACATGGACTGACGACATCGAGCAAGGCCTCGGGCGGCGGCTCTGTCACGCTTTGAAGAATTTACCAAGATTCTCCGGACCTGGGCACGGCGTTTTTTGTTTCCTTCAGGGAGTAGGTAGGTAGGTAAGAGGGAGTTTCGAGCAAAAAGAAACCGAAACTCGTCCTCCGGGCGCCGCTTGGCCGACTTAAAATCCCTGTGTGGTGGCGGCGTGCCGTCCTCCCATCCCTCCCTTGGGCTGCCTGTTTTCTTTCTTACTTTTGGCCGACTCCAGGATTTGCACCCTCGCCTGTGGCTCCGCTGTGAACGTGCCGAAAGATGATCGTCGCCGCCGTCGCCGTTCCCGCCTTCTCTCCCGGCACGCCGGAGCACGCGCTCGCCACCTGGGTGCGCCGCGAAGGTGGCTTCGTCGGCAAGGTTCGCGTCGAGACTCGTGGCGGCCTGCGCGGCCTCTTCGTGACCGAGCCGGTGCGGGCAGGAGAGTTGCTCGTATCAGTACCACCGGGCTGCATTGTGTCGGCCGACGAGGACCCTCAGTGGGGACTGTCGCTGCGCGAGCTGCTCACAGCGCGACTAGTCGGCGCTAGGACGCGAGGGCAGTGCCAGCCGTACCTCGACTCGCTTCCCACCCTCGACGGCGCGCCACTGCTGTGCGACTGGAGCGACGAGGCGTCCGAGATGGCCCAGCATCGATCCGAGATTACCCGAGATCGCATTGAGATCGCTCCGAGATCGCATTGAGATCGCTCCGAGATCGCTCCGAGATCGCTCGAGATCGCGCAAGCCACGAGATCAGTCAGAGGGCCCGAGGCTGTAGGAGCTAGAGCAGCTCCAAGCGGCGGAGCTGGCGGAGCTGGCGAGAGGCATGCCACCCTTCGTCGCGGCCAGCTGCGAGCGAGTGCGGCCGTACGTGCAGGCGGAAGCGTCGGTGGTGGAGTGGGCGGAGAGGATGGTACGAGGCAATCTTCTTCGACACTGGCCTGTGGAACAACGTCTTCACACCTCTTGACGTGAACAGGTCCGGACGCGGGCAATGTTCTTCGACACCGGCGTGGCCAGCCAGCCTCCTGCCAGTTGTCGCCTCGGGTGGTCTCGGGTGATCTCGGGTGATCTCGGGTGATCTCAGGCGTGTCGCGCCGGATGAGCCTTGTGCCAGTTGTCGACCTCGCCAACCACCGCACACCACCGCGCCGTTCGGCAATGGACGGCGAGCTATCTCGGCTGCATCGCGGATGGATCTCGGCTGCATCTCGGCTGCGTCTCGGGGAGATCTCGGCTGCATCTCGGGAATAGCTCGGCTGTATTTCGGCTGCACCTCGGGTGTATGTGTACCTCAGCTGCATCTCGGCAGGCGAGCTGCTCGAGCCCGTGGCGCTAGGCTCAGACGGCGAGAGCGTGGCGCTGGTGGCGGGCTGCTGTCTTTGGCGCGTCCATGACATGTCCGTGACGTGTCCGTTAGGCGAGAGCGTGGCGCTGGTGGCGCGCTCGGACTTGCGCACGGGCGAGGAGGTTTGCCTCACCTACCGTCACGAGGGCAACGGTCAGTTCCCGCTGCAGCTACAGCCACATCTCGGCCAACCTCGGGTGCAATCTCGGCTACATCTCGGGTCTGTCTCGGCAGGCCAGCTCCTGCTGCACTACGGCTTCGCAGAGATGATATGCGCCGACCAGCCGTGCCTTTCGACGCCGCGGCTCGGCGCGTCCTCGAGACGTCCAGGACACGTCCATGTGTGTGTGCCCTACAGGTGCTTCGAGACGCTGCGGCTCGGCGCATCCTCGACTCCCCTCGCCGCCGCGCTGCACCTCGGCAGCGACGAGGCGGACGCCGCCGCGCTGGCGGCGCTCCGGAGACATTTGGTGGACGGAGGAGCGGAGGGTGAGGCTGCTTCGGCGCTGGACACCGGCGTCTGCTCCGCGCTGGCGGCGGCGTGCGAGGTCCAGATTACTCGAGAGTGCCTGAGAGTGCAACCGGGAGTCTTCGAGATCGCCCAAGATGACCGGAGACCATTCTTGATCATTCTCCGAGAGCGCTTGCAGGCCGAGCTCCGCCGCATGCCCACGTCGGAGGAGGAGGACGCCAGAGAGCTCGCGTCGCTGTCGCTTTCGGCAGACGACGCCGGCCGCAGGCACGTTTTGACCAGCGGCCGCTGTCCTCGACATGCCCACGACACGCCCACGACATGACCACGACACGCCCACGATAGGCGGAGTGCGCTCACTTTTCGCGTCGTCCAAAAGGCGCAGCGCGGTGTGTGGAGTAGCGGCTACACCGCCGGACACTTTCCTCAGAATTTTCTTTGCTCAACAGGCGCAGTTGGCCCGGGTGGCGCAGATGCTGCACTCGCTATTGGCGTGCGGCGGCGCTCCGACCGCCGCCCAGGTGGCAGCGGAGCTGCGCGGCCTGAGGAGCGAAGACTGAAGGATCGCGCGAAACTTCTTCGAGTGAAAAGTAATCGAGCACCCGCGGCCGCAATGAATTAAAAGGGGCGGTTTTCGAGGGGGAATCTGGAGAATCTGGGAATCGGCTCACCACGGACCCCCACCTCATCGAAAAACTTTTCACTCCAAGACATAGTACTTTTTTGAGGTGCTCTACAAGCTGTCAAGCTAGGCACAAAAGATATGGCATTGCAGCCAGTTAGCGCCCCTTAGACGATCACCGAGTAGGCCAAAATCCCCACTGGGCCGGGAGCAACCTTAAAATTCTTCTTCTGTGAGATGGCGAGTGAATCTCAAGATCGGGGGCAGCAGACGCCGTTGCGCCTAAAAGAAATTGCGCGAACCCCGCCCGTGCCGCCGAAAGAGAGATAGGAAGAGGCAGACGCCCAAGGGTGGGCGACGGCTAGCACCACAGTCCACACTCCTCTCCTTAAAATCCCTGTTTGGTGGCGGCGTGACGTCCTCCCATCCCTCTCTTGGTTTGTGTGTTCTTTCTTTCTTTTTGCCCCGCCTATGTAAGATGTCGCCTATGTGAGAGAGAGAGGATCCCCTGTCGCGTGCTATTCGCGAGGCAACGAAGAGCATCGTTCCGCGAGGCGGACCCGATCGCCATCGCCTCTCCCGGCATTTGCGAAGGCACCGCCGTGCTCACAACTCACCCTGTCGGCTTTGCAGGTCCCATCTTGTTTTGTTTGTCATCTCCAAACGTGTCAAGATGCCAATGTACCAACAATAACAAACTCAAAAAACTCTCTCACACAACTCATCAACGACAAACACCGTTGGCCACTCCTACGCCTTTGGCAACACCGAAGAGAAGGCCCGCCGCCTAAACATGGGCTGCAAGGCGCGCGGGCAGCCCGGCCAACCCTTCTCCCACAAGACCGGCCACGGCTACGTCAAGGCGCATCGCGGTTTCTACCATGACGCGCGATCTTTGTCAAGCGCAACAACTTCAACCTGCTGCTCCACGAGACGTTCGGCGGCGGCTTCTCGCCCACCGCCGTTCTCAAGCTGCGCCGCCTCGCGCGCAAAGTCGCGCGCGGCAGCGTTGACCGCACGGCCTACTCGCCCAAGTACTCGCTCTCTTTTATGTCCCACCATGCAGAGCGCATCTCTCTCTCTGTTGTGCGAGGCGTGAACCGCGCCATTCGCTCTCACCTGGCAACCCTGTCTGCACGTCTCGCGCGCGCGTGAACAGGGCCTCGATATGGCGTCCGCCTCCATCCTCACGGGGAGTACCGAATCGTTGATGCTCGACACCGAGGTTTACGACCAGCTCCAGTCTCCAGTGCCTATCACGGCAACGTTTACTCTGGAGAAGGAGGTTACCGAGACGGAGACGGAGACGGAGACGGAGACGGACCATCAGATGTCCGAGATCACCACCACAACGTTTGCCAACATGAATGTCGGGGTGGAGGCCTCCTTTACCCCCTTCATCAAAGCGTCCGCATCTGCGGAGGCGGGAATCGAAAACGTGGACGTGACTGTCGACGAACAAACAGTTGAGGTGTCAACTGTTGGCCAAGATAGGCGGCTGCACGTCTGCTCGTTCTCAGCGCAGCGCTCTTGTATTCACACCCACACAGCACCCTTAGGTATTTTTATATTCCCCCACCCGGGTGAGTGGGTGGGTGGGAATTTTATATTTAGCAATATGAGCCGCCGTAGAACTCGAGTCCGCCGACCGCTATAGGTCGAGCGGGGAGAGAGGCGCTGCCTCCACGGCGGGGACGGAGGCGACACCTCCGTCCCCACCGCCATTGGTTCGAGCGGCAAGCCTTAGGTAGAGCGGGGACGGAGACGTGGAAAAGCGTGCTTGTGAGTGGAAGCCACAAGCGCGCTGGCTCCGTTCGTTTTTATATGAGGGTGTTTTTCTGAGGGTGTGTTTTCTTTAACCTTTCTTAAACTGGGTAACGAACCCCTGTCACTCCGTGAAGTGAACAGAAGAGAGGTGTGAACAGACTGGCGTGCTGATCGTGAAGAGGCGCCATGTCATCGGACACCGAGAGCACGGTCTGCGACCGGCGGTCAGAGGTCGCACCCGAGCCGCAAGTCCCCAAGGGGCCGGGCCAGATAAGGCGCGTGCCCCAGCTGCTCACAGCAACAGCATGGTCTACCCCCGTCGTCCCACCCCAAGTGCAGCAGCTTGGTAGCGGCGGATGGGACGCCAACCAAGAAGAAGGCCGAGTGCCCCAAAGTGCAGCAGCATGGGTGCGAGTACCGCTGTACGCGTCTGCACGTGTGGCCGCGTATCTTGGCTAAGACACGCGCCGGCACAGAATGACACGTATCAGGCCCCGCCGAGCTCGATGCGCGGCAGCGGGTGAGGGCCCGGGGGGGCGAATGACGTGGCCCCATCGGGTTGGACCCGGGCCGGCCCGCCGTTATTCCGGAGGACACAGCTGAAGAGGTCATGGCTGAAAGAGGACACGCCGTTTGCTGGGGGTATCTGCTGTCGGGCATTACGACGCCGGCGTGCGCGCCAGTGCCGGCCAAGACTGGCCCGTCGTTCAGAGAGAGGTTTTGCACCACATGTCGAGCGAGAGGAGTGCAGATCCACGCCTCCCGCCTGCGGGTGGTTTGCTCAGGCTGCGTGCCGACCAACAAGCACGGAGGCGGGTGCTGGAACGAGGGCCCCGACGCAGACGGCTGGCCGCCGCACAGGGTCGTCAACCAGACCATCAACTGCATCGGTCCGCCGATTGTCATCCTGAAGTTTGCAACGTCGGCTCCGCTCCATCGCCTCGGCGAGTTTCCGCACGGTTCGTGCGGCTGGTACACATTTCGCATCGGGCGCACCCTCGCGCCGCTGCTGGGCTCGCACGCCCACCCGCCCCCCCTCGCCTTGGCGCCAACGGCGGGCGTGATGCACATGACACCGCCCACCCTGCCGGCCACGCCGACCGAGACGGGGCGCACCCTCGACGAGCTGGTCTCCAGCGCCTCCCTCTGGACGCAAGGGCAGCGGATCACTTCTCAGGCCTCCCTGACCTCCACCAAGCCCCCACACGTCATCGGCATCCCCCTCCACGAAGCGATCCCTGGCGTGTTCTTCAGCGCCCAGGTAATCTCGCCAAGGGATGAGCTGCAGCAGCACCGGTCCGCTGCCCTTCACTCCGCCGCCATCGCCGCCGCCGCTGCCACCTCCGCCGCCGTCGCCACCTCCTCTGTCGCGCGATCCTTTGCCGCCGCCTACGATCTGCCCCTCGCCGGCTTGGCGTCCGTGCCGACTGGCTTGGCGTCTTGCGCCACCGCGCCCGCACAACCTGGACACGCCTCAATGTCCGACACCACAAGCCCGAGCGATCTGCTCCAGCGTCGCACCGCCGGCGTGCTGACGGCCGGCGAGGTGGCTCGCTCCGAGGCGCGCATCCAGCAATTGGCCGCCGCCGTCAGCCCTTCAGCCATCCCCGCCCCCGTACCAGCAGTGCCGCTGCACAATCCAAGAGCGCTTTCCGCGGCGCTGGAGACGGCGGGCCGCGCGATTGCGCCGCCGCCGCCGCCCCCAGAGGGACAAGCGCTCCACGCCCCCTCCGACGCGTGCGCGGCCTCCACGCTGCTCGACCTCTCCGGGGGCGCAGCAGCTGGCATCGCACCGCAGGGTGCAGCGGCCACGGGGGCGGAGCGAGAGGCCAGGCCGCTGGTGCGGCGCGCCACCAACATCGGGGTGCCTTGGCACAGGCGTGGTTAACATGCCGCCGCCGGTGCCGTTGCCGCCGTCGGTCGGCGGCGTCCCGCCTGCAGGGCTGTAAAATTCTTACTACTGGTTGATTCTTTCTTTCATAGTGCTAGCACGCGCAAGTCCGCACCTGTGTCGAGCCTGTCTGCTGTGAGTAGTGAGAGAGAGTTGTTTTCAGTTATTTTTTCTTTCTCGTTGTAAAATTCGTTCTGCCTCGCCGTCCTCGCAGGAGTCGCTTAGGCGGCTCCCGTGGTGACTGGTGTACCTGTGTTATTAGTGCCAGTGCCCAGTGGCAGTGCGCGCCAGTCCCGTGCCCAGTGGCGCAGTGTTGTGCGAGGGAGAAGGCAGAAGCATGGTAAAATTGTAAATTCTAATTCTCTCTCCTGCTGTTTCATCCTCTGACACATCGCTCTCCTCGGCCTCGTTCTGCGCTTGCCCTTGGAGCACTTGGAGTGCAGTTATCAACCTCACATCCAGGGCCAGATCGCAGATGATTGGCATCATCAATTGCTGTACAACGAGGGACCGATTCCGTGAGGGCCGGGTATCGATTAGGCCGCGTGAGGCCGGATCTATTGCTGTAGCCTTTTAGCAATTAGGCGCTTAGGGTTAGGCGAGTGACGGCCGACTCCCCGGGGCCCTTGGCGTGCCTCCGCCGCGCGCCGGCTCCGCGCCGTGGGCACTGGGCTGAGCGCCTGGGAGAGCCACTCACGACTCAGCAAGTGGTGTGCGAGCGTGTAGCCTTTAGCGTGCAGTCGGCCAACACTAAAATAAAAACGAAAAATATTCCCCATACATGGACATCTCTGCGCAACATCGGAAGATCCTTGGACTGTAGATCGCAGATGCCTTTTAGAGATCTCTTAAGTGGCAAATCTCCTGCCAAGAGCAGCAGTAGATTGAAGAATTGGTGGAGGCAAATCTTCTCCGGTGTAGATGCTCGAGAGGAGTCTGAGATCTCGAGTTGGTGCGTGCAGTCGCTTGAGATCTTGCGACAGAGGTGGAGATTCTGACTTTGCGCCAAAGGCGCCTAGAGATCGTGTGGGCCGACTGGAGATTGCACAAAATGGCGCGAAAAGAGGGTGGAGATCCTTTTGCATTGTGAATGAATCCATAGCGCATCTCCTTGAAGGTTTGAGCCCCCCCCTCCCCCGGGCCCCCGAATCGAGATTGGAGATTGGAGATTGGAGATGGAGATCGGAGATCTGACCGAATCCGGCCTAAGATGACGACGTTGGAGATTGGAGATTGAAGATGGAGATCGGAGATCTGACTGGATCCGGCCTAAGATGTAGCGACGCTGGAGATTGAAGACTGAGTACTGGAGAGATGGAGATCGGAGCCCCCCAGCCCCTAGTGGTGTCTCATCGATTTTTTTTGTTTTTAATGGATGAAGGTTCTGTGCGCGGACGGCCCGGGGAGCCTGCGGGCCGGCGCCATTTTAATCTGCGCTCCTCTTTATGGCCTGCGGCGCCTGGCTTGAGCTTGGAAGTGTAAACGAGTCCGCCAGGGCGGTCTGCAAACACGGAGCGCGCTGCGCGCGCGGTCTATGCCGAACTGGGGGAGGTATTGCGAATTACGCTGACGACTCTTCAATAGATTGCGGCGCTGAATAATATGCCATGTGCGTTGACAAGTATCTAGTACCTTTCCTCTCTATTCCAGAACCCCGATCTCTTCACCCTCCTGCTTCTTGGTCTCC